GCCAAGAAACCCGACAGCACATGAGAAAGTAAAGAGCAGAGCCGACACAAAGACGTTCAGAGCTGCGAGCAGCATTAGCGCGCTAGCCAAACAGGAACAAAGGCGGCTTGTGTTGCTGCTCTCCAGCCCAGCAGACACACAGATGGAGGCTGCTGCCAGCCAGGTGTGTCCGTCAGGCCTGCGATCAGCGGGCAGGTGTCCACTTCCTTCAGCAGATGCTGCCGTCTGTGGAAAATGTGATTTGAGGACGGGATGCTGCAGACGGGTTGATGATTAAACAAGAGCCACCAGGAAAATGACGTTAAAGTTTCTCTGTGGTCATTTTGTGATTTGTAAGCCGGGGCTGGTGAGAGCTCCTGTCTGCATGAACATGCACCGAAATCAATTCAAACCAAATAAAATCCCAACATTTAATGACAAAAGTCTGTCAGTGATGTTTTACAGGATGTTTAACTCAGAAAGCAGAGACATGTTGTTGCTTCACATTGAATGAAAGGACAGAAGTTTAAATAACTAATGCTGTGTTCACACCAGACGTGAATTCATCACACTATTCACGCGATTTGCACGTTTTTATACGCGTGTATGCACTGAGTTCACTTTCTTCATTCGCACAAATAATTTGGGTCATTCGTACGTTAAACACAGCGAGATTCGTGTCTGGATTCGCGTCATTGGTGCGAATTATGCGAATCCAGACGCCGCCGTGTCCAGGTTCATGGGATCCCCCAGTGACGCACACAGTTCAGGGAATTCCAAAACCTTCTCCAGGAGCTGCGCCTGGATGACAGCCGCTGATCCGGACCCAGTTTGACTACCTGTTGGAGAAGATCGGAACCAGGATATCCCTCCAGGATACCACCTGCAGGCGCTCGCTGGGATAGAGCCATGTTTTCTCCTCGCCACATACAACAATAACACGGGCGCCAGTAGGTATACACTGACCACAGCGACCAGGAGTCAGCGGAGGTTTATCCCGCTAGCATTGCGATAGCTAGCAACTCGGCTCGCTAGCTTGCTAAGTTGAAGGGTGTCATTCTAGTGTGTGAACTGGAGGAGAGGGACAGCCTGAGATCTGCCCTGGCCAGTAATGTAACTGCTTTTCTCCTGGGGTGAGCAAATCAATCAGTAATTACGGTGTAGTTGTAAAGAAATGAGTGAATCATGTTGTTGACGTCACCAGAGAATCTCAACACTGATTGGCCATCACGGCGTGTCAGATCACAAAAGTTCAGATTTTTCAACTTGCGCGTCCAACGTGAATTTGCATCATTTGCGCGAGTAACTCACTCAATTCGCATCAATCACGCCGCGCGATTCGCACAGCAGGACATTTACTCGCATCTAATCACGTCTTCACGTTGACTTCACATATAAATCATTTGCGCAAATGACTTTACTCGCGTCTGGTGTGAACACAGCATCACAGACGTCTTCTGTTTGTTTCATTAAAACCACAGATTCTACATGTTTGCTGTTTGTTGTCATTCTAAGACGTTTCTGTTTCCAGAGGCAGGACTTTATATCGCAGTAAAATACAAGCGCTGTGAGAAAAAATGTGACATCAGTTTGAGTTCAGAGGGTTGATCTTATCTCTCGTGTCAGAGCAGCAGGTCACACACGAGTCATTCAAGGACTGTAGGGAAGTTGTGTTTTTTTACAGATTCTGGCTCATCAACGGGGTCATTCTGGTGATTTTATTAAAGAAAATATTCAGTAAATTTTGGGGTTCAGAGGGTCAATCTGTTCTAATTCTCACCGCTCTGAGTTTCCTGATGGAGGGAAACGAGTACAAATATCTGAGCGTTTTCTGCAAACACAGGTGTTCCTGTTCAGAGGCTACAATCAGTACGAAGCTCCTGGAGGTACAACCGTCGCACATATTTCAGCTTATACTGACAGGATTTCAACTTTTTCTTCCACTCGTGTCAGAGGATGAGAAGAGCTCCGAGCAGAAGGAAAGTATTGTTGGAAGCGAAACACAAGTCGAACATCTGCAGCACCTGTTCTTCATAATGAGATGAAGCCTTCAGGAGCTCCAGACAGCAGAAACAAGGCTGGTTTCATTTTAATTCAGTTAATAGATCCAGAAGGACATAAGGCTTCCTGACAACACTGTAAAAAATGATTTATGAAAACAAGAATTTTCCAGCAGCTGTAAACTAACAGACATCACCCTGTCTGATGAACACAGTCATTTTCTCTCTTTGTGGTTTCTTTGCGATCGCTTTGTGTCTCTTTGGGGTGATTTGTTTCCTTGTAGTTTTGTGACTGTGGTCGTCTTTTTGTCTCACTTTGTGGTTGTTCAGCATCTCTAATGGTCATTTTATGTCTCGTGTTCCATGTGTGTTTTCATTTTGTGAGTCTGTATCGTCATTTGTCATCTTTCTGTGCTAGTTTTGCATGTCTTTGGGTATTTTGTGCCTTTCTGCGGTCATCGGATGTTTCTTTGCAGTCACTGTGTGTCTGTTTGGAACAAATTCTGAATCATTTTGTACATTTTCTTAATATTTTGGTAAAACTTTGAGTGACTTTGTTCTGGCCAGTTGGAGAACCCAGGTACAGACACAGATCGGGCAGGTCGAGATCAAAAGGTTTTATTAAACAAAAGAACCTCTCACCTGTTTACAACTCAGTCCTAAGATCTCTCCCCAGGAAGATGAAACCGCATTCATACCCAGCCACAAAGACCCTAACAAACCCCATTGTGACATGGAGAGTCCTAACGATTCCAATAACGAGGGGGAGGAGCAACAAACCCCCAATTGAAACTTGACTCAGCTGTTAATGGCTCCTTCAGGATATCAGTATGTGGAACTCCCAACTAGTCAGTCAGAGCTGATGAAGCCTCTTGGATGAGAGGTGGAACGTCTTCAAGGAACTCAAGCAGTTGCTACGACTAATCTACCAGAACAAACAAAGGAATGAAGCTGGAAACCGATACGGAAAGACAAAACTGAAGTGAAGGGAAAACAGAACGGGGTAAACCAGACCTAATTACAACAAAAGGGGGGCAAAAACTACAAAGACTGAAGAAAAACTCCAAACTAGCAGCAGAAGGGGAAACTACTGAGGATAAACTAAACTGGACCAAAGAAAATGGGGATGCTCAGGCCCTGTTAACGCGCAACTAAAACGGTGACCTGTCAGTGCGTCTGGACCTTTGGTTTACACGTAAACGAAGCTACGAGTCACCGAAAACGATCACATCTGAAAGCTCTGGCCAACGTGGAGATTTGGAAAAACTCCGTCTTTACACAACAAACACGTATCAGCATCACATGTGTGCGACCATGTTTACGGTTTGACTGCGTCCACATACAGACTGACATGTTTACAGTCAGTGTTTTCCTTCCTGTGTCTCTGACACCACATATAGGAGCAGCTCCACGTCTCTGTCGGTCCAAACAAACCACCCTCACACCGAAGTAACAGGAAGTTTTTGTTGTTGTGTTTTTTCCAGGATTCTGATTGGCTAGCATGGCTTCATGCTTCTCGCTACACTGCCCCCTATAGGCCTCGCAGCTCATAGCAGCTCTTAACGACGTGTTTATGTGGGTTTGTGTAAACGAAGAGTATTTTGAAAATGATCTGGTGTGAACAATGTTTTTGAAAACGTAGATCTGTTTTAGTGAATCCCGGCTACGTGTAAACGTGGCCTGAAGGGGACGGCCGGCTGTGGGGAGGATCTGGACAGAGAGCGTTGCCGATGCAGGGGGGCAGGCCGGAGACAGGTCGGGGGTCGGCAGAGACACAGGGCTGCATAGTCTATGATCTGGAGGAATGAGCTGAGTCCTTCATGGAGCAGAAGGTGGTTGTGGACAGGTGAGTCGATCCTCACAGCTGTCTCCAACACCTGCATCAAGCAGCCTGAGTGCAGGGCTGGTGGACAGAGGGAGAGAGAGACCGGGGCTGATCCTTTTTGCCTCTTTGTGTGTTCATTTTGACTCTGCAGTCATTTCGACCGGACCATCTCTGAGCAGCAGAGGATCATCTGACACCATGACTTCATCCCACAAAGTGTGTGTGTGTGCAGCCGAGTGTGAGATCTGGACACACAACGTCTGAGCTCTGGTTTCAGTCGATGTGGGTTTGTGTTGATTTGAGCTTTTAGTCGATGCGAGTGTTTGTGAGTCGAGGAGACGATGGACTCGCACACAGACACACACTGGTGATCACACACACTTCACTCAGACTTGCACATGTCGCTTCCTCTCAATATCGGCTGTCACATCGCAGTCGAGACAAAGAGACGGCAAGAGTCCGCACAACACACTGGTTCCACTGGTTTCAACTTCCAGTTTGGTCTGAGTGAACGTACAGAATCAAAAAGTTGCATTTTTTTGATCATTACAAAAAATGTAGAAGTCAGCCAAAGGAAGGCAGTTGTTTAACACACCGTCTGAACTGATAAGGCTGTTAACGGACTTACTTTGCGGCTGTCCTGTTTGTTTTTGTTGTTTTTGTGAGTATTTCAGAATTCAAAGAAGTCCTCATCCTCTGTCTCCTCCTCAGACGTTCCCCTTCGATGTTGGCGCTGCAGCTCTTCCATTTCTTCAGCAGACGGACAGCAAGGTTTGAGGCGGGAGATGTGCACATTTCGATGGTCTTCCCCGCTGTCCTCGAGAACCACCTCATAGTTCAGAGATCCAACCTGCTGGAGGACGCGGTAGGGACCTTCCCATTGCAGTGAAAGATTTCTCAGCTTTGGACATGGGGTGAGTCAGACTCTGTCTTTCTCCTCAAAACTCAAATCCGTGCGCGGTTTGTTGTAATTCCTTTTCTGTGGCTTACGGGCCAGAGAAAGGTTTTTGGAGACAAAGGCCTTCAGATCATTCAATTCAATTCAATTCTTTATTTCGAACATATAAAATAAATTTAAAAAATCATTTTGAGCTGGGAGATTTTTGAGTAGGCTGGTGCAGCATCCCGTGGCTGCAGCACTACGTCCAGTGGTCCTCTCTGCGGTCGATGGAGGTTGAGTTCAGCCGGGGTCACACCTGTGGATTCATGGACGGCTGAGTTCAGAGCAAACCTGAACTCAGGAAGGTCTCTGACCCGATGCTTGTGCTGGGAACCAACAAAAGAGGCTATCATGGGCTTTAGGGTCTGAGGGTGGTAGGCAGATGTTAATTTGTGCGACACATTCCATGTTCTGCAGGAGGCTTGGAAGATGGAGGACACAAACTGGGAGCCGTGGTCCGAGAGGATGGAATCTGGTATACCCCACCTGGTGAAAATGTCCTGAGGATACGAGAGATAGACTCAACTGTTGCTGTCCTCAAGGGAAAAAGCTCTATTCATTTTGAGTAGTAATCCACAAAAATACAAGTAAGTACAGATTTCTACTGGAGCTTCTGGGAAAAGGACCCATTAAATCCACACCTAGCATTTCCCAGGGTCGCTCTACAAGTGTTTGCTGTAATCTCCCTGCTGGTTTGCGACTCTCTGGTTTGCAGAGTTGACAGACTTGGTAATTCCTCACATATTGTTTGACATCCCAGCTCATTTCTGGCCAGTAAACCATTTTCTGCATCCTTCGGTAGGCCTTGTACCTTCCAAGATGGCCGGCCAAATGGTCTTGGTGGAACAATGTCAGCAGTTGTGAACGCAGTCTCACAGGTATGAACACCTGGTAAGTGGTTTTGTGAGGCAGCTTTACAACCAAAGTCAAGGAGGTAGAGAAGAATTTACTTTTCTTCATATTTACTGTGAGGCTGGCCTGCCTGAGCTTTTCCATCACCTCCTGAACATCTGTGAAATGCTGGTTCCATGAGTGGGAATAGATGATTATATCATCAACGTACACAAAGCAAGTGCATCCCTTAAGTTCTCCAAGCACCCTGTCCATGAGCCTTGTGAAAGTGGCAGGGGCATTTTATAAAAAAGTGAAAGGCATTACTTTGAACTGGTAAAGACCATGAGGGCAAATAAAAGCTGTCTTTGCTCGGGAATCTGGATCCATCTCCACCTGCAAGTATCTGCTGTTCGGGTCCAGGGCAGCGAACACTGTGGCTCCTGCCAGGGATTCCAAGATGTCCTGAATGGTGGGGATGGGATAGGCATCTGTATAAGTCTTGATGTTCTTCTGTAATCCATACAGAATCTGGGTTTCTCTGACTTCCTGGAGACGATTCCCACTGGTGAGGTCCATGTTGAAGAGGATGGCTCTATCACACCACAAGCCAACATTTCATCCAGAACGTCGTTTAGCACCTTTTGTTTTTGTTGAAAAGAGGCGGCAAGGTTTCTGCTTTATTGGCACATCATCTGTGAAAAAGATCTTATGTTTTAGCATAAACCAAGTCATATTACTGGCTGGAATGTTGCCAGGGCGTGGAGCTCAGGTGAATGGACAGAACCACACATTTTTCAGCACAACATAACGTTAAACCCGCCAGCAGGTGTTGTTGTTTCTTATTATTTCCAATTTTACCTTAAAAACGTGTTACTTTTTATGCTTTACGTCTTTCTAAAGCACTGCGTAGCAGCTGCACGAATAAAATCTTCTTTTCTGATCATATTTCTGGTTGGTTTCAGTCTGGCTGTCGTCGCTGCTCAGAGACGACTTGAAGAAACTGAATCTTCTGAGTATTCTGAGGACGTTACATCGACCACGAGAGCTCACAGTGAATA